GGGCCGGCAAAACCAAAAGGCCCCCCCCCCCCCCCCCCCCCCCCCCTTTTTTCTCTCCCGTCGTCCCCGGGGCCCCGCTACAGGCTTACCGCCCGTCTCGCTACTACTACGAGGTGATCGAGTGCGCGAGGCGGCTGCTGCTGACAGGGTGTCTTGTCTTCATCCTTCCCAACTCTGCGGGGCAGGCGGGCGTGGCCTGCGTGCTGTCGGTGGCGACGGTGGCGCTGTTCATCACCCTGAGGCCCTTCGCCGACTCGAACGACGACCGTCTCTACATACTGGGAGCCATCCTCATCTTCCTGTCCATGTGAGAGAGACTGTTCGCTGGCATCGGTGTTGTTTTCACACTCGTAGAGCCTGATCTTTCAAAAGAACCCCAAGGATAAGGAGGGCCTCGAATTGTACTGCTGTACCCCAAGTGACGTTCCCTTGCATGCACATGGCCACGTGTCCGGATCGCCTCACCGTTCGCCGTGCGAGCATCTCTCGAGAAGCATGTCTTTTTTTGCTAGGACGGTTCCTGCGCCTGCAGCTGCCGTCGCTATTGCTCTCTGTATCGCGGTGCCCCCCCCCCCCCCCCCCCCCTGTGCTGCGTGGTTCATGGGTGATTAGGGGCGGTGTTGCTGCTGCCGGATGGTGGTCTATATGTCTATTGTTTGCGACCCTTGTGTGCTTCGGTCTCGCTCTGAGCTGCTCCGCACAGGCGTTGAGTCGCGCGCCTGTAGACGCTTGTCATTGGGCCCAACGCTATCTATCGTCCGTTTAAGCAATCGGCACCTACACGGTAGCCGATTGCATGGATGAACCACTTTTTGCGCGCCTACCGCTCCTGTGCCACCGATGCTCCCGAGGCCCACCCGGCTGGAGACTTGCTGCCTTGCACCGCGACCTCTTGTAGGGCAGGGATGCGGAGGTGTTGCCGTGTGTGTGATGTATGTGATATTCCACCTACCTGCCGTGATCTATGATGTACTGCCCCCCCCCCCCCCCCCTTTCCCTCCCACAAAGGGGGTTTGGAATTGGGGGCCTTCTTTTTAAAAAAAAAAAAAAAAAAGCACCCCCCCCCCCCCCCCCC